CTTTTGTACAGAGATGTGACTCATTATACACACATATATTATTTTTAACATTCTTTTCTATTATGTTTGTCACAGGATATTGAATATAGTCCCTGTGCTATACAGTAGGATCTTGTTTTTTATCCATTCTATATATAATAGTTTGCCTCTGCTAATCCCAAACTCCCAGTCCTTCCCTCCCAACCCCTCCTCCTGTTTGTAACCACAAGTCTGTTCTCTGTATCTGTGAGACATTTTGTTTCTTAGATATATTGATTGGGTCATATTTTGGATTCCACATGTAAGTAATGTCATATGATATTTGTCTTTCTCTTTCTGACTTTCTTCACTTAGTATGATAATCTCTAAGTCTATCCATGTTGCTACAAATGGAATAATTTCATTTTTTTTATGCCTGAGTAATGGACGATTCTACATATGGACATCACCAGATGGTCAATACCAAAATCAGATTGATCATAATTTTTGCAGCTAAAGATGAAGAAGCTCTGATACAGTCCACAAACACAAGACCAGGAGCTGACTCTGGCTCATATCATGAACTCATTACAAAATTCAGACTTAAATTGAAGAAAGTAGGGAAAACCACTAGACCATTCAGGTATGACCTAGATCAACTCCCTTAAGATTATACACTGAAAGTGACAGATTCAAAGGATTAGATCTGATAGACAGTGCCTGAAGAACTATGGATGGAGGTTCATAACATTGTACAGCAGGCTGTGAATAAGACCATCCCGAAGAAAAAGAAATGCAAAAAGGCAAAATGGTTGTCTGAGAAGACGTTACAGATAGCTGAGAAGAGAAGTGAAAGGCAAAGGAGGAAAGATATATCCATCTGAATGCAAAGTTCCAAAGAATAGCAGGGAGAGATAAGAAAGCCTTCCTCAGTGATCAGTGCAAAGAAATAGAGGAAAACAATAGAATGGGAAAGACTAGAGATCTCTTTAAGAAAATTAGAGCTATCAAGGGAACATTTCATGCAAAGATGGGCACAATAAAGGACAGAAACAGCATGGACCTAACAGAAGAAGAAGATGTTAAGAAGACGTGGCATGAATACACAGAAGAACTATACAAAAAAGATCTTCATGACCCAGATAACCACAATGCTGTGATCACTCACATAGAGACAGACATCCTGGAATGCAGAGTCAAGTGGGCCTTAGGAAGCATCACTACGAACAAAGCTAGTGATGGAATTCTGGTTGAGCTATTTCAAATCCTAAAAGATGATGCTGTGAAAGTGCTGCATTCAGTATGCCAGCAAATTTGGAAAGCTCAGCAGTAGCCACAGGACTGGAAAAGGTCAGTTTTCATTCCAATCACAAAGAAAGACAATATTAAAGAATGTTCAAACTACTGCACAGTTGCATTCATCTCACATACTAGCAAGGTAATGCTCAAAATTCTCCATGCTAGGCTTCAACAGTCCCTAAATTGAGAACTTCCAGATGTACAAGCTGGATTTAGAAAAGGCAGAGGAACCAGAGATCAAATTGCCAACATCTGTTGGATCATAGAAAAAACAAAAGAATTCCAGAAAAACATCTGCTTCATTGACAATGCCAAAGCCTTTGACTGTGTGGATCATGACAAACTGGAAAATTCTTCAAGAGATGGGAATACCAGACCACCGTGCATGCCTCCTGAGAAACCTGTATGCAGGTCAAGAAGCAACAGTTAAAATAGAATATATAACAATGGACTGATTCCAGATTGGGAAAGGAGTACGTCAAGGCTGTATATTGTCACCCTGCTTATTTAACTTCTATGCAGAGTACATCATGCAAAATGCCAGAATGTATGAAGCACAAGCTGGCATCAAGATTGCCAAGAGAAATATCAATAACCTCAAATGTGCAGATGACACCACCCTTATGGCAGAAAGCAGAGAAGAACTAAAGAGCCTCTTGATGAAAGTGAATGAGGAGAGTGAAAAAGCTGGCTTAAAACTCAACATTCAAAAATCTGAGATCATGGCATCCAGTTCCATCACTTCCTGGCAAATAGATGGGTAAACAGTGGCAACAGTGAGACACTTTATTTTGGGGGGCTCCAAATTCACTACAGATGTTGACTGCGCCCATGAAATTAAAAGACACTTGCTCCTTGAAAGAAAAGCTATGACCAAACTAGACAACATATTAAAAAGCAGAGACTTTACTTTGCCAACAAAGGTCCGTCTAGTCAAAGCTATGGTTTTTCCAGTAGTTGTGTATGGATGTGAGATGGACCATAAAGAAAGCTGAGTGCTGAAGAATGGATGCTTTGAACTGTGGTGTTGGAGAAGACTCTTGAGAGTCCCTTGGACTGCAAGGAGATGAAACCAGTCAATCCTCAAAGAAATCAGTCCTGAATATTCATTGGAAGGACTGATGCTAAAGCTGAAGCTCCAATACCTTGGCTACCTGATGCAAAGAACTGACTCATTGGAAAAGACCCTGATGCTGGGAAAGATTGAGGGCAGGAGAAGGGAACAGCAGAGGATGAGATGGTTGGATGGCATCACCGATTCAATGGACAGGAGTTTGAGCAAGCCTCAGGAGTTGGTGATGGACAGGGAAGCCTGGCTGACGTGCTATAGTCCATGGGGTTGCAAAGAGTTGGACACAACTGAACTGAACTGAATGGAGTATACGAGTTTGCTCCTTTGGTTAGGAAGTCTCCCCGGAGAAAGGAATGGCTACTCACTTCAGTATTCTTGCCTGAAAAATTCCATGGACAGAGGAGCCCAGTGTGCTACAGTTCATGCGGTTATAAGGAGTTGGATACAACTGAGCATACACTCATGGCAACTCTATTTTTAATTTTTTGAGTAACCTCCCTACTATTTACATAATGGTTATACCAATTTACATTCCCACCAACCATGTTTGAGTTATCTTTTCTCCACATCCTCTCCAGCATTTGTTATTTGTAGACTGTTTAATGATGGCCATTCTGACTGGTATAAATCTCATAATCTTTGATTTTCACGAAGCTCCTGGTGTCTTACCACTTTCTCAGTCTCCTTTTCCATCCCCCATTCACAGTTCTCTTTATGCTCTGGCTTTGGGCAGTTTCATTCGTTCTCATACTTGCAGTGACTCCTAAACCAACACCTGTAAACTTGACCTTTGTGACTCTAGCATTTCTAATTAATCTCTAAACATTTCTGGTATTCATATTCCACCTAAAATTCAACCACTGAAACCAAACTCATCATCTTGCCTTCTTAAAACTAGCATCATCTTCGAAATCTCTTATTTCTGTTGGTGTAATAAGATTGTTGCTCAGTCATGTCCAACTCTCTGTGACTCCATGGACTGTGTCCATGGAATTCTCTTGCCAAGAATATTGGAGTGGGTTGCCATTCTCTTCTTCAGAGGATCTTCCCACCCAGGGATCAAACCCGCATCTCCCACGTTGCAGGCAGTTTCTTTACCATCTGAGCCATCAGGGAAGCCCAATAAGAGTGTCATGTATGTTTTTCTGGGTTGTACTCTGTACAGAAGGACTCAGCTGAGGATTGAGCAGAAGGTGAAACTGTTCTGTTCACAAGTGGTGCACTTGGGTGTAGGTCTGTGTCAGCCTTAACATCTTTTAATACTTCCTCTACCCAGAGAGGATTCTTTTGTCTGGTTCATGCATGGGGGCATATTTGCTGTTGGAGGCCCTGAGTCTTATCACCTTTTTCTTCTAGTCACCTATTTGAGAAACTCAGACTCTCCATTCATTCTTCCCTCTTTTTAGTCCCCCATATATATGTTGCATTTATCCTTATCCATTTTCATGCACACTGCTGCATTCCTGAACTGTTCTAATGATTTTTTCATTTAACTCTTCCTTTTTGTCCTTGCTCTGCTCCTGTCTTTTCTTCACCCTGTTACAGATTACCCTTCATTGAAGCATAGTTTTACTTTGTCATTTCATTGCTCAAAAACTTCACAGTCCATTTCTGCCTGTATTATTAAGAACAAACTCTTCATCCTGTCATTCTTCCAACAGCCATGGTCTAAAATATGTGTGGTGACTTGTGCAATATCTTGTGTCTTGTAATCGCTTAGTAAATATTTATTAAACTATTTAAGATCTCCTGTGATATTTTCCCAATGCCCACCTTCCACTTAGGTTCAACTTGTACCCTGTGTGTACCCTTGGCACCACTGTGAATTACTGATATTCACAGAACTGGTAACCAACTGTCCTACATTTATCACTTTGGTGTTGCTGATTCATTCACCTGGGGCACTATCCACGTTCATTCTCCAAAAATCTATTCCTGTCTTTAGACTTTCCTTGTTCTGTTCCTGTCCTTATCCCTTCCTTCCTTTAGACTGAATGACAGCTTTTTTTTTTTTTAATTTAATCTATTTACTTATTTTTGGCTGCACTGAGTCTCTGTTGCTTTCCACCGGCTTTCTCTAGTTATTGCAAATTCAGGCCACTTCTAGTTGTGGTGCACGGGCTTCTCATTGTGGTGGCTTCTCTTGTTGTGGAGCACAGGCGCTAGAGTGTGCAGGCTTCAGCAGCCATGGCATGTGGGCTTAGTTGCTCTGCAGCTTATGGAATCTTGGACCAGGAATCGAACTTGTGTCCCCTACATTGGCAGGCAGATTCCTATCCACTGTGCCATCAGGGAAGTCCTGAATGACACCTTTGTCATGGCTCACTTAAAATTTTATTTTCTTGTTTTAAAGTCACCTTTGGTTTGTTTCTTCCACAAGATGTTGAGCTTCTTGAGGGTAACAAGTCTTTGTTGTCTTTGCCTCCTCTTGTACCCCAGGTTCAAAGAGGAATTTATAGATATTCAAAAATGTTTGTTAATTGAAAACCATCACCCAGTTTTAAAAAGGCACGGAAGATAGATTGACTAACCATTCAGCTTTGTAGAAGAGATACCACTACTTAAAAATTTTTTCCTGATAGCAATAGACAAAAGTAAGAACAGATTTTGGTATTATTAGGATTAATATGTGAAATGTGATTGAAATAACTTATCCCACATTTTTTTGTAGAAAGATGCTGAATTCCAGGAGCATGAAAAGATTCTGTCTCCAGATTTTCTTTCAGTTGCCCAGATCATTGAAATACTAGCAGAGGATGTAGATGGAGTTCAACAGTAAGTACTTTGATATCACAACCAGATATGGAACAGTTCTAGTTCTGCATCTATAAATGCCATAATATGTTATTACACATTTTAAACCTTTTTTCAAAATATTTGTTATTATATTGTGCACAGATATATATATATCCAGACTCTGGAACACAAAAATTCTCAAACTGACTTTTTGCACTGCTCAGCAGTCTTCTTTATGGAAGAAGTGGATTTCAAACCAACTTGTTATCTTAACACAGAATAGGGGTTTATTGTTAAAAGCAACCATTAGCATATGACATCTTCTTTTCTCTTTCATTTGTAAAACTGACAGTATGCATAAGAACCTCTATGTCTTCTGTCTCATCCTGACAAGAGTAAGATGTATTTTCTGTAATACTAATAGTCAATACATGTATAATTTTGGTAATCCTGAATATTAGCCATCCACCTGTGATTTTTATTGGATATGAAGCTATACTAAGTACTCTAATCTCATACATTTTGTTTAAATATGGCAATATAACTGAATCTATAGGCATCAGTTCTAGTACAGGTACTTCTTATTTTTAAAGCCATTGATTTCTACAGTAGATCATTTTCTTAGAACTCTTAGATATACTCAGATATATTCACCACACAAATGCCTCAACAGTGTTTTTAGTAGCACTCATTTTAAAAATTATCTCACTCTAATAATGGAAGCCTGATTAGTTGTAATATATGGAGAATGGGAATGATGTGATGATGTTCTGGACTGTAAGGGTAAGATTTCTGTCAGCTAGTCATCTGGATGCAAGCAGTGTTGTAAACCTTAATGGCAAATAGAAAATGACTGTCAGTGGTTATCATTTGCAGATCATAATATCAAATATTACAGAATAGAGGTGATTTACAGTTGAGAAGGAAATATGACAAATTTACTGGGTGTAGGAGAAATTTGAGAAGGGAAAGAGTATTAAGAGCAGGCAAATGACACTGACAGGCCTTTTCCTGAGATGCTTTTCACCTCCACTGCCTTCAAATCCTGCTAGAAATCTTGGTGATCTGTGATTTGGCCATACAAGCTTACTATCTGCATCTTTAGAAGTATGAGTCAATTAAAAATTTCATAGATATCAAGTAAGAATTTCATGGTCATTTTACCATTTTTATAGAAGCAGATACTCTTTGGGAATTCTTATTTTTTAGTGCCAGAATTAATTAGAAAAATTCATTTATTAATATCACTGATTACTTAAGTCAGCCATATTATTTTGGACTTCTAGATAACCCCAAATGTTATTGCTGAAATGCAAAAAATAGATATTTATTTATTTATTTATTTAATTTATTTTTTCCATTTATTTTTATTAGTTGGAGGCTAATTACTTTACAATATTGTAGTGGTTTTTGTCATACACTGATATGAAATGCAAAAAATAGATAATACTAGGCAGATAGAGTAATATGATATAAATGGCACATTTAATATAGTTTATAATTTATCTGTATTGAATAGTGAATAAAATATATTATTTAAAAGTAGTTAATACTGAATAAAACTGCAAACAAATGCTTTTTAGACTTGTATATTTCTCATCAGATCTTAATTTGTACTGTTTATATAACAGTCTTTTTGATAATTTTTTTCAATTATTGTCTTTTTTTTGTTAAATATCTAATTTCTAGAAGTATTTTTCATCTCTAAGAGGTGAGATCTAGGAGAAAGTAGATGATTCAAAGAGTGATACAGAAGTTAGCAACATAGAAACAACCCAAATTCAACAGCAGGTTGACCTAAAATGTCATTCTTTCAGGATATGTCATTGACCATATGATTAATAGAATTCACCTGAAGTAATCTCAGATTATAGGACATCAGTTTTGGATAAATTACATCAGTGTTATGCCAGGAACCATTTCTTAAAAGAGTGATTTTCTTGAGCTTTTTTTACTTGATTTTTTTAACAGTAATCCTGACATATTTGCAATCAGTCATTCACTTTCCATTTAAAATAGCATTATGACAGAAATATAATTGAAGTATCCTGTCACCAACTGGCAAAAGTATGCCAAAAGTCATACAATCTAGGAAGCTAAGAAAATGAAAGTGTTAGCCACTCACTCCTGTCTGATTCTTTGCGACCCTATGGAGCCCACCAGGCTCCTCTGTCCATGGAATTTTCCAGGCAAGAATTGGAGTGGGTAGCCATTTCTTTCTCCAGGGGATCTTCCCGACCCAGGAATCGAGCCAGGTCTCCCACATTGTAGGCAGATTCTTTACCATCAGAGCCACTGGGGAAGCCCCTGCAAAGCTATAGTGAAGTAAAGTGGCTCAGTCGTGTCTGACTCTTTGCGACCCCATAGACTGTAGCCTACTGGATTCCTCCATCCATGGGGTTTTCCAGGCAAGAATACTGGAGTGGGTTGCCATTTCCTTCTCCAGGAGATCCTCCCAACCCAGGGATTGAATCTGGGTCTCTCACATTATAGGCAGATGCTTTACCATCTGAGTCACCAGGGAAGTCCTGCAAAGCTATAAACCTACTGAAATAAATTATAAGATATCAGCACATTCCCTTACCTTTTAACATTAAAAATTTTGCTCCATAAAAGCAACCAATCAAATGAAACATTGAAGTATCATTAAAGTATATTTCTGGAATATACTTCAAGCAAGGATAAATATCTAGGTACATTTCTCATCTCCTAACTGCTGTCATTCATGTTTTCCTGTAACTCTGATTTTATTTACAGATCCATGCAAATCCCTTTTGAAAAAAGATACAGACTAAATTGAAAATAACTATTTAAACATAGAAATAATGTGGAGTGATCTCTTAATGACTTTTCTATAACTGGTTTCCATGAGCTGTTAAGCTCTTGCCTTAAGGCTTATTTCTGCATGTCATCATATTCAAAAATTAAAAGGTATTCCAATTTCAAGAGCATGCAAGAATAATGTAATATTTTTACTGAAATTCTTGGTGAGATAAAGTAGGTAGTTACATCACCTACCACTATAGCAAGACTTCCTAAATCACTATTAAGCATCTTTTTCTTTCGCTACATTCTCCTGTGTTACCTCAGTGGCCATCTCACTATTCTCCTGTCTCCCCTCTTCCTTTATCCCTAGAGGAAAAGCTTACAAATTTGCCAGTAAAATGCATGGAAACTTTACATTTAAACCACAGCTGTATCTTGTTCCCAGCATCTCCCTGCATAGTTTCCTTTGGAGTGAAATAACTAAGAGAATAGAAATGTTAAATATTTAGCCTGCAGCTCAAGTTGAAGGTTAAGATTCGAATGGTACTTAGGGAAAGCAATGGAGGACACATTAGGGAAAGAGCAAAAGTGGAGGGACCTCAAGGAGATTTCACCAAAATATTCTCAGGCAGTTGTCTATTAATATACAGTTAAAACATTCAAAAAATAAAAGTGTAAAGCAAAGGACACATGCAGCTATTTAGGTCAGATATTTAATTGAGAAAATAACATGCAGATTGCAAATGAAAAATACATTTGGAAGGGAAACTAACTTCCAGAAACAAACAAAAAAAAATCATTAGGCAAAGCTGATGTTTAAAGAGGACATTGATTCCATAAAACAAGAGATAAAAATAGAGATTATAAAATATGTTAAAAAGGAGCTGTTAGGACTAAGACAGGAAACTACAGTAAAGAATAAATCCTGAGGAACAAGATGGTGGAGGCATAGGTGGATGTGGAGTTCATCTCTCTCCACGGATACCTCAGGAATACACCTTCAGACACAGAAGTGTACGCAGAACACCAGCTGAGAGCAGACAGGAGTACCTGACCAGAGGAGACGAATACATAGAACCACGCAAAACTTGGTAGGACGGAGAAACTAGTAGGGGAAGCAGGAGTGTTAGTAAGGCTGGACCTGCCCTCAGCGGGTGGGGGAACTGAGGGCTGTGAAGTTGCTTAGTTGTGTCCAGCTCTTTGCGACCCCATGGACTGTAGCCTACCAGGCTCCACCCTCCATGGGATTCTCCAGGCAAGAATACTGGAGTGGAGAATATTCCTTCTCCAGGATATCTTCCCGACTCAGGGATCAAACCCGGGTCTCCTGAACTGCAGGCAGACGCTTTAACCTCTGAGCCACAGGGTCCAATCCCCACATAGGGACAATTGTCTGAGTCGGAGGAGAACCATTTAAGGCTGAGCATGAAACAGCTGATCTATGGAAGCCTAAATGGAATGAGAATCAGACAGTCCTTGCCACAGCCCTACATACCCCCGAAACGGACAAGGGTTCCCTGGAAGGTGCAGCGGCTGGGAGCTGGAGTTTGGGGAATGTGGAGTGATCCTAGGGCGGGGGCTGCTGTTGACTGCAGAGAGACGGATCAAGGGGAGGTGAGGGAGGAGATTGTGATGGGAAATGCCTGTGGTGGAAGGCCAGGCAGCCATGGAAGCAAGGTGATACGGCTGAGTCACACATAGCGGGTGGAGCCATCACCATAGCCTTTCTTTCTCCACACGCCAGCATTGGCAGCTGAACAATACAGAGGCTGGCCCAGCAAATGCCTGATGCACTGAACTACAGAGCAGGACCCCACCCAGGGTGCCCCTTTAAGTGCCTGACACGTTGATCTACAGAGTAGGACCCCAGCTAGGGGGGCCCCTCTATGTGCCTGATGCATCAAACAACAGAGAAGGACCCCAGGCAAGGGAGCCCTCTGTAAATTCCTGAACAGGCGGAGCTATGGAGAAAGACTAGCTAAAGAGGCCTTCTGATTGCCAGCTAAAAAAAAACCTTGCAAAAAAGACCCTGATAGGGCCATACTCCTGCAGCGGAAGCAGTTCGTATCCCTGCACACTTGACGCCACCAGGGTCCCTACAAGCCAAGTAGCTGCACTACCTTCACACTCAACTCCCACTGGGACGGAGCTGCCACAGGCAAAAAAAGCCTTGCATCTGTGCGGGCAAGGTCACCTGGGTAGTATCCAACTCTGTGTGACCCTGTAGACCATGGCCTGCCAGGCTTCTCTGTCAGGGAAGGGGGTTCTCCAGG